GAGGACATAGGAGAGGAACAAAACAAGGAAAGCAGTGAAGAGGACAATGACACCAATGAGGAAGACAGCAGTGAAGAGGACGACGACGAGGGCAATGGCGATGACCAAAACAAGGGAAAAAATCAAGAGGTCAGAGGGAACGATGAGGAAGACAGCAGTGAAGAGGACGACGACGAGGGCAATGGCGATGACCAAAACAAGGAAAAAAATCAAGAGGAGAAAGGAGGGGAACAAAACAAGGAAAGCATTGAAGAGGTCAAAGGGACCGATGAGGAAGACAGCAGTGAAGAGGACGACGACGAGGACAATGGCGAAGACCAAAACAAGGAAAAAAATCAAGAGGAGAAAGGAGAGGAACAAAACAAGGAAAGCAGTGAAGAGGACAGTGACACCAATGAGGAAGACAGCAGTGAAGAGGACGACGACGAGGGCAATGGCGATGACCAAAACAAGGAAAAAAATCAAGAGGAGAAAGGAGAGGAACAAAACAAGGAAAGCATTCAAGAGGACAAAGGGACCGATGAGGAAGACAGCAGTGAAGAGGACGACGACGAGGGCAATGGCGATGACCAAAACAAGGAAAAAAATCAAGAGGAGAAAGGAGAGGAACAAAACAAGGAAAGCATTCAAGAGGACAAAGGGACCAATGAGGAAGACAGCAGTGAAGAGGACGACGAGGGCAATGGCGATGACCAAAACAAGGAAAAAAATCAAGAGGTCAAAGGGACCAATGAGGAAGACAGCAGTGACTCTAGCGAGGACAATGAAGATGAGCAAATCCAGGAAAACAAAGACGAGGACGAGAACACTAACGAGAAAGATGGGCAGTGAAGATGAGCCAACCAAAGTCCTTAGTACTTAGCTATGTGTGTTTGCTTTTGTGCTTGTATGTTTTCGAATTAGAATATTATGATGCACCAGTGTGGGCTACATGCATCTAAACTTAAGCATTAATCGTGTTATGGATGTTTGTTTTATAAGACAAATGTAAAGCTTTGACTGCTTTTTACTTTTTGTTAACAGGGTATCTCATCTGATATGATGTACAGTTACTAGAGAAGGATCTATGTAATGCTCGTGTCAAGCTTCAAAGAACATTATGACTCATCTTTTCATAAGCTTGTAGTTTTCACAAACAGTATATTATGTTACTTGCACCATTATAATAAGTACAAGGGTTAGTTGTACAGGTGCATGTCTGTGCAGACTATTTCTGGAAATCTCACGGCCAATTCTGGAAATCCCACGGCCGTGAAAGAAGACGTGGTTTTGGATATGTAATTCTGGAAATATCACGGCCGTGAGATAGGCCGTGAGATAGGCCGTGAATGTAAAAACGCACGTCTCAGTTTCCCAGAGGGTTTCACGGGTTGCTTTCGACATTATCACGGCCGTGAGATGAGCCGTGTTTTGGAATTGAATGCTGTACCTCTCACGGCTCATCTGTTGATTCTCACGGGCGTGAGAATAAGCCGTGTGATTGTCTGGAGATAGGAAAACTACTTTTGCTTGTCACGGGTCATGTCACGGCCGTGAGATGAGCCGTGTTTCCTCAAAATTGTACCTACACTTTCTAGAGTTGTACCTTTACACTAAATTTAAAGTTGTACCTACACTTTCCTAAAAATTGTACCTATACACTATAGTACAACTTAATGTTGTACCTACACTTTCTAACAAATCCCTCTATGGTACAACTCAAAATTGTACCTATACTAATGGTACAACTTTTAGTTGTACCTACACTTTCTCAAAATCCTTCTATGGTACAACCCAAACTTGTACCTATACCATGGTACAACTTTAAGTTGTACCTACACTTTCTAAAAATCGGTCTATGGTACAACCCAAACTTGTACCTATACCTTGGTACAACTTTAAGTTGTACCTACACTTTTTCAAAATCCTTCTATGGTACAACCCAAACTTGTACCTATACTAATGGTACAACCTTAAGTTGTACCTACACTTTCTCAAAATTCTTTTATGGTACAACTCAAAATTGTACCTATACTAATGGTACAACTTTTAGTTGTACCTACACTTTCTAATAAATCCCTTTATGGTACAACTCAAAATTGTACCTATACTAATGGTACAACTTTAAGTTGTACCTACACTTTCTAATAAATCCCTTTATGGTACAACTCAAAATTGTACCTATACTATTGGTACAACCTTAAGTTGTACCTACACTTTTTCAAAATCCTTCTATGGTACAACCCAAACTTGTACCTATACTATGGTACAACTTTATGTTGTACCTACACTTTCTAACAAATCCCTTTAAGGTACAACTAAAAATTGTACCTATACGAATGGTACAACCTTAAGTTGTACCTACACTTTCTAACAAATCCCTTTATGGTACAACTAAAAATTGTACCTATACTAATGGTACAACCTTAAGTTGTACCTACACTTTTTCAAAATCCTTCTATGGTACAACCCAAACTTGTACCTATAATATGGTACAATTTTAAGTTGTACCTACACTTTCTCAAAATTCTTTTATGGTACAACTCAAAATTGTACCTATACTAATGGTACAAATTTAAGTTGTACCTACACTTTCTAATAAATCCCTTATGGTACAACTCAAAATTGTACCTATACTAATGGTACAACTTTAAGTTGTACCTACACTTTCTAATAAATCTCTTTATGGTACAACTCAAAATTGTACCTATACTAATGGTACAACTTTAAGTTGTACCTACACTTTCAAAAATCCTTCTATGGTACAACCCAAAATTGTACCTATACCATGGTACAAATTTAAGTTGTACCTACACTTTCTAACAAATCCCTTATGGTACAACTAAAAATTGTACCTATACTAATGGTACAACCTTAAGTTGTACCTACACTTTCTCAAAATTCTTTAATGGTACAACCCAAACTTGTACCTATAACATGGTACAATTTTAAGTTGTACCTACACTTTCTAATAAATCCCTTCATGGTACAACTCAAAATTGTACCTATACTAATGGTACAACTTTAAGTTGTACCTACACTTTGTGAAACAAATTCTTCAATGGTACAGCTGAAACTTGTACCTATACTAATGGTACAACTTTAAGTTGTACCTACACTTGTATACATTGATTCATTATTTACAAGATTGCCATTAATGATGTGGGACCAGTCATTTAGTGGGTTTACCTCCTCAATAGGTCACCTTTTTTTTTTGTTTTTTATAGCATGGGTGCTATAAAGCACACTAGAAGGGCTCCTGATCAATTAGCATTGTTGTCAAGAGAGAATGAAGAAGTCATCAAGAAAGCTCGAAGTCAAATGGAAGAAAAGCATGGGTAATTAACACAAAAGGTCACAAACTTTTACACTTAGTACAAAACGGTCACAAACCTTTGATTTGTAAAAAATTGGTAACAAACATTTGAGCAAATATCAAAATGGTAATTCCGTCACTATCCGTCCAAATTTCCGTCTCCCTTGCCTAATCAGCATTCCACCTCATCAAAACTAATAATAAACAAATTCAAAATGTTAATTAAAAAAATTTACCCTAACCCAACCCACCCAAACGATAAGACCTCGACTGATCCACCCTGCCACAGCCTCCGTCTCCTTCTTCCTTTCCACCTCATCCTCCCCATCTTCGCCGGTCACGACGCTGCGGCGATTCCCCGGCTGGAGTTGGTTTTGGCGGCGTCCCCTAGCACTGTCTGCTTCAACTCGTCACCAATCCCGCCGTTCCCTTTCCTCGGCCCACGATCGTCCATCGCCGCAGGTCGCCATCTAAACTCCTCCGTCCAACATCCCCACCGAGAAAAGACGTACAGCGAGGCAAATAACGACCGACAGTCGCCACCGTGCTGATGCCCCTGCTCGACAAGAGTGTGAGAGAGAGAGAGGCAAACCAAAGGTAGTAGAGGAGATGAGACGGAGAGGAGATGCATTTAGTCGAGTCTCGTTTCCCCCATTGTTTTCCCTTCCTCTTCCTGACCTGGGATTGAATTGGTCGGGATTATTATCAATAAGTAAGGTGGAGTTGTAGAGGGATTCATGCGAAACAGAAATTAGGGTTCTTTCTGGGAGAGGTGGGTTGGAAGAAAGCTTTGGGCTTGCTAGCTCAATTTAGCCTCCCCATGTTGACTGGAATGGGCGATGAAGAAGAATGAGGGTAAGAGAGGTGTTGTATCATGAGGCGACGGGATGAATGTCGGCGGCGAGGGGGGGTTTGAAGAAGATGTTGCGGGAGTGGTGGAATTGGGTTTGACCGACTTTTTAGCAATTTTTGACCAGTCTAAATAATGGTTGGTGTTAGATATTAAATTGGAGTTGTTTATTATTTGTTTTGATGAGGTGGAATGCTTACTAGATAAATTTAACGGAAATTCGGATGGAGAGTAACAGAAGTGACTATTTTGTACAAGTTCAAACTTTTATGACCATATCGTTACAAATTAAAGATTTATGACCATTTTGTACTAAATGCAAAGGTTTATGACCGTTTATGATAACTACCCAGAAAAGCATTGTTGCCAAGCAAATATTCTTCTCATCCCTATAGGAAAACCACACACATACCAAAAGTTCTTTGCTCTGAGTAATGGCTATTAGCATTTAGCACAAATGGGTTTACCAGTTTCTTGAGTGTGATTGTCTCCTCAATGAGATGCTTCAAGAAATGGGCCATGGTTGAGGTTGGTTTTCAGGGAGAGATCTCAAATTCTGGAGGGGAAACACTTGTTCCTCTGTAGGGCTTGAAGAAGATGAAGGAGAAAGAGAAAGTTTCAAGAGGGGAGTACAGAGAGGAAAATTAACTTTTTCTTTACCCCTATCGAGCTCCTAGCTTTCCCAGCAGAACTTACAGCAACAATATTAGTTCAAAAAGGCACAAATTTTCTTACCTTGACGAAAACAGAATATGCCTTCAAAGTGGTGTGGAAGGTTGGTCAAGCATCTCCTATAACAGGAAGCTGACAACACTGTAGTCGTGATTCGCCTCCATCCTACGATATTCATCTGATCATTGAATATCTTGCAGAATCAGATGTTACTCAATGAGCTTCTCATCTCATAATTCTAATACTCCAATACTCCATTAAATGGATGATAGAAACAGGAAGGTAAAAACGACTCTAAGGGGTCTGAGCTACTGCTAAAAGCCTAAAACAAGAAAAGCTAGATTCAAACTTGGCAATAGCATCATCCTCAATACACACAGCAGGAAGTTTTTTGAACATTGTCCCCAGCGAAAACATCTAGTGTTCCAAGTGAACAACATGGCACCTAAATCAAATTAAGATTCTCTAATGATGGTGACTTTCAGCAGGACGTTAGTCCACCTTTGAATGCACTCAAAGATGCAAATGTCTCCTGGTTTCAGCGAGTTTTCCTCTGTAAATACACGCCAGCCCTTGCATAAGTGTAAAGCCTTTTCACTTGGATACGAATTTAGTCCTACGCGCCAAGTTTTATCCGCAATCTGAAGCTTCACTGACTTCTCATCTTCCCCAATATGCCTAACAGAAAAACTTCGAGGTACATACTGCTAAGTCAAAAGACCACCAGTTTTGGTCCATGTTAATATTGCACTCGAGAGTTTAAAAACAAACACAACCTGAAAGCAGGCATTCTCGTCAGACACACGTACCAGTTCCCATCTTTTCAACCCATGTGAAGTCATTCGAGCTTCGAAACATGGATGCGGTGAGGTGAATGCGGTGAGAGGCATACGTTCCTCCACAAGTGGAGATTCTTCAGGGGCTATCTCATCACCACTCTCTTTCTCTTCGCGTCCCAACTCCATCGAATTGCCTACATTGTTTGATAACACACAGACAGGAAAGAACTCAAAACACAATTGCACAAAGAACATGTTAAACGTCAGAAAAGGTAAAAGAAAGTTAAGGAACCACTAACCCCCAAGCCCCTGTGCAGATGAATGATGCCCAGCTGCACTTTGCTCAATGCAACTCACCATCTTCACATTGCCATTTCTAGTTGCACTACCCCTCTTCATCTTCTTCTTCTTACCACGAGGTTGAGAAACCTCCATAGGGGGTTTACACTTGTTTCTTTGGGGCACATCAACTCCACCACAGAAATTCTCAATCACTTCGACTACAGGCTCAGGAAACAGTTTCAGAACCTTATCAGCAGGCTGCGGGTTGCTAGCAGTTCTAGTAATCGGGTATACAATCTCTGTAGCGGTTCTATCGCATATAACTACATAGAAACTGGAGCAACCCTTGTACTCGAAAATCAGGAAATGCCCATACTTTAGCGAGTGAAACTCAGCAAAATCTTGCCATCCATTCCCAAACCAGACACCAATTCTATCACTTACCAAATCCACCGTCCAACTCAGACCACTAGGGACCTTCAGAATTGCAGAATCCAGCAAACCCTCCCCGCAATTCTCAACGAACCTCCCAGGAATCAACTGCCAAAATATTAAGAAGCGATACGAAGATTAAGAACCACCAATTCGAGCTCCTGCTCTAAACGCAGTGGGGGTAAAAATGGAGGAAGAGATTGTGCTTACGAGCTTCTTGTCACGAAGGGTTCCCTGGAGAATGATTTTGAAGAAACGGGTTCCGTGCGAGTCAGCGAAAGATGCCATCTCGACTTTGGAAGGAACGGCTTACCCGTCTCGCTGCATGAACAGCGAAAGGGTCGGCGGTCTGATTCTAATAATGATGAATGAAAGCGAGAAAGACGAATGAGAATGCGCCATTTTGCTTGAAACTGGAGCGAGAGTGAGACAGAGGGCTGACTCTCCATTATTGCGATTCAAATGGCAGAGGATAGTTGGAGCCTTGGGAAGTGGGAACTGGTGTTGGAAAGAAACGGGAACGCGAACGTTGAAGGAGGATGGTGAGCGTTGGCCGACGACCGTTGTGTATATAACGTCGGCAGACAGTAAAACTGTAAAAGAGCTGATAATTATGGAGTAAATTACAAAGTTGGTCACTCGGATGAGTCGGATTACTAAAAGGTGTCATGTTTAGTCACTAAAAATATTTAATTACATTCGTGTCACTAAAATTAGTTACATATTCCAAGTTTGGTCACTCTCCGTCCAACTCTGTTAACTTTTGCTGATGTGGCGGTAAACTCTATTTGTTGACCGTTAAATGTGTGACGTGACAATTTAAAAATATTTAAAAAATAAATTTTAATTTCTTAAAATTTGCACATCATTTACATCTATTAAAACATAAACTAAAAAAGATGACCCATGACCCAACCCTGCCTTCTTTACCCCGCCCGCCTTCTCTTGCCTCCCTCCGGCTTCCGCCCTCCAATCCTCCAACCACCACGACCGAAGATCTCTGCGCACAGCCTTCCCCTCGCAATGCCAGAATCTGGGACAAAATCAAAGGCGTCAAGCTCGTCATCCTCCTATGAGGCGCATAGTGATTTTGTGGCCGTCGGCCTGGAGGTTTCTGAAGAGTAGGCCACTTCACGCCTGCCAAGTTGCTCATACCGCGATTCTGTGTCTGATTGATGGCGATCCCTTGAGCCTGAAATTGCGCCTGGAGTTGGGCGTGAGCATGCGACTGTGGTTTCAATTGGGCATGCACATTGGCTTGAGCTTGAGACGATGGGAACTGATTCTGCAACCTGGAACCCATTTAGGGATGTGCAGTGCTTGTGAGTGTGACTGCGAGAACCCTTGGTTGGGAGAAATTGATGCGTTGATAATTCCAAATGGGAATGATGATTTCCCTAAGCTCTTTGGAGAAGTATTATTGTTAGCAGCAGCCATTGCTTCTTCCTTTCTTTCATAATCTGAATACCAGAACTAGGGCTGGCGGACGGTTTTCCGGTTAGCGGATAACCGGCCGGTTTCAACCGAATCGGCCGGTTTTCGGCTAGCCGAAAAACTGATCCCAATGGTCGCGGTCGGTTGGCGGAGGGGGGAATTCATGGGGCCGGTTAGCCGACTAACCGGGATCAGAAACGGCGGTTAACCGGCTAACCGACCCCCCTTCCCTATGACCCAAAAACGCCGCCGCCCCCCATTTGATTCACAGCCACCAACCCTCATATATTGCCTCCCTGCAAAAAAAACGACATCTACCCTTAACCCTATAATCCCCTCATCAAACCTTCACCCTCACGAGTCACGGCCGCCGCCGAGCTCCCTTCCTCGTCGCCTCACGACCGCCGCCGAGCTCCTTTCCTCGCCACCATGCAGATCCTTCCTCGTCGCGTCGCACCCGTCCAGATTCCTTCCTCACTGCTGCCCAGATCCCGTCCTCATCGCGTCGCCTCGCGCCACCACCTCCATCCTTCCTCTTTCCCGTCCATCTGTCGTCGTCGTCACCGTCCCCAAGCAGATGGAAGAGGGTTATCCTCTGGTTTTGGTTGGGAGAGAGAGGAGAGAAGAAGTGGCTTGGAGATCGGCAGAGAGAGGGGAGAAGAAAGGGAATTGAGATTTGGAGGGGAATGGAAGAGGGTTATCCTCTTGTTTTGGTTGGGAGAGAGAGGAGAGAAGAAGAGGATTGGAGATCGGCAGAGAGAGGGGAGAAGAAAAGACAACTTTTTCTTTTTGGGTGGGGAGAGAAGAAGAAGATAAGGATGAAAATGTGTGGTGGGTGCTTTTTTTTTTTAATTTTTTGTATTTAATTCGGCTAACCGCGGTTATAACCGATAACCGACCGGTCGGTTAGACGGTGACAGTGTGAAATGCCCCGGTCGGTGGTCGGTAATGCTTGGGGGTTAAACCGAAACTGACCGATTGACAGCCCTAACCAGAACCACCAATTTGCATATCACTACGACGAACCTTCACGAGAACAATAACCCCATAAACCCAAATTCCTAAAAATCAAACGGGGAAGCAGCTGCTACCGCTAATAGTTGACAAAATCACTATTCGACTCATAGGAGGATGACGAGCTCGACGTCTTTGATTTCGTCGCAATTTTTGGCGTAGCGAGGGGAAGGCTCAGCGCAGAGATCTTTGGCCGTGGTGGTCGGAGGATTGGAGGGCGGTGGCCGGAGGGAGGCAAGAGAATGGAAAGGTCGGGCGGTAGGGTTTGGGTCATGGGTTTAATTTTTAGGATTTTGCTACGGTGACATGCATGTCACCGTGACATGAACTTTTCGGTCGACCTAATCCAACAAGCGGTCGACCGAATGGACTAATTCATGTATGTGGGGTTCCGAAACGCGGTCGACCTCTTACATAATACGGTCGACCGCTTTGGTTGTCTAACAGAATGAAAGGTCGACCCAAATATCTCATAGGCCGACCCTTGTGCACCTAACAGGCCGACCGCATTATGAAGAGGTCGACCGCCTTCACACCGTATCCGTATTGGATATGGATTCCAACACCAGAAAGGTTCCACAATTGGACAAGGAAACGAATTGGGTCGACCCATTGACGTCCTAAATCTCTATAAATACGAATATAAGTCCCCTTCAACGCCTCCAAGTCTGAATTAGGTTTTTTTCCGATTAAGAGCCTTTGTGAAGAAGATCGTTCGCGGTTGCTGTTGTACGTGTTGGAAGTGGTCGACCAGGTCTAAGGTGCGGTCGACCTAATGTAGCATTCGTCGTCTTATTTTCTAATGTGTGATTTCCACCGGCTAATTTGATATATTGTTGGGTGCAGAATTGCATTCGGTCGACCGTGACGTCAACCAGGTCGACCTGACGAGACAATTCTTCGTATTTGAATTTAGGCCACAACACTTGGACTTCTGTACTTGCGAGGTAACCCAATTGGTCGACCTAATGGGTTTCAAGGCCGACCGTTTTTATTTTTTTGGTTATTCAACCTGAATGTCGACTTTGGCTTTGTTTGTATGACTATGTTGTGCTTGAAAAGGTCGACCGCGCCATATATCTGGTCGACCTATCCTTTTTTCGGTTTCATTTTGAACTTACTTTTTGTTGTTAATTGTTATTTTCCTGCTGGATAGGTCGACCTAGGAATAACAGAGGTCGACCTTAATGGTTGTGGTAGTCACTATTTGTCTTCCAGGTCGACCTAATACTTTGTCAGGTCGACCATGTCTTTGTTTTTTGGTCAATTGTAGAAATTTGTAGTTGAATTATGATTTAAATTTTTCTTTAAATTGTTTAGACGATGACGCATGATGAGAAACTGCATCAAGATTTGGGTGAAATCATGAAATTGTTGAAAGCCACACAAGAGAAGCTGGTGGTGTGTCAAACACAAGTCAATGACTTTCAGAAGTCCATGCGTGATAGAGTGGAGCAATTGTCAGTTCGACTGACAGATATGAATGGGATGATGCATGACGGGTTTGAGAGGCTAGAAGGTGCTATCAAAGATATAAGTGCAGAACGAATGGAGAATGGCGGTCAGCCCGCATGTCCCGTTCTTATGGATGTAAGAGAGTTTAGGTTTTAGTGTCTTCTTTGTTATATTGTTGTTGTTTGCTTGTCGGTGACCGACATAGGGTTGCAAAGGAGAACTCGGTGAAGGCAGCAGACGTTTGTGTCTTCGAGTGCATTCCAATGTGGTCTAATGTCCTGAACTGCACTCCTGCTGAAAGTCACATCTGGTTTTCAATCGATTTAAATTTTCCGAGGTCGACCTATATTTTTTCTGAGGTCGACCTATGAAAGCAATTTTGTACTTGAGTTGTTACGGGTTTATGTCGACCCATTCTCATTTTAAATTAACTGAGGTCGACCTATGCTTCTTCTAAGGTCGACCCATTCTCGTTTTAAATTAACTGAGGTCGACCTATGATTCTTCTGAGGTCGACCCATTCTCATTTTAAATTAACTGAGGTCGACCGCTTTATGGAGTGGTCGACCGCGTATTGTTCATTTCGAAAATGTGACTAACGTGTATTCTTGCTTGTTTGATCGCAGGATGTTTGGCGGCAAAAAGAAAAGAAAGGCACAAAAAGCTGCTGCCTCAAGTTCGGAATGAGAAGAGTTCAATCCCAATCTGTTCCAGACCAAGGAGCAAAGTGAGAACTATGAAGAGAAGAGAATGCACAACTGCAGGGTGGCTCCGGGAAGTCCATTGACGACGGATGCGTATTCTCATTTCAAGAATTACGGGTTTCTGGGACCCTTCATCGAGCAGGAGTGGCTGAAGGTGATATCTCTCAATGTACCATACTACCCAAAACTGGTACAGTACTTCTACAACAACATCGTCTACGAGCGCAATGCAAATGGATCCATTCACGCATTCAAATCCTATGTGAATGGGGTGGTGATGCGCATCAGCAAGAATGTATTGGCGCAAGTACTGGAGGCTCCAAACGAGGGGAAGAGAATCAATTCTTACGGTGCTTGGAATGAAACGCATTTCACGAGAGCCAAGCAAATCCAGACGGTATGTGGTCTTGATGAAGAGGAAGATGCTCAGGGGCGCAATAGGCCAACGAGTAACCACCTGACAGTTCAAGCCAGAGTTCTTCACCACATGCTTTCCTACAACATTCTGCCAAAGGGTGGACATCGGGAGACAGTCACCTACTTCGACATGGAGCTCCTCACCAACCTACTATTAAACGAGAAGGTGAACTTGCCATACTTGATCTTTAACCACATGCTTACTGCTGCAGAGAGTTCAAACAGGAATCTTCCCTATGGGATGATCCCCACTGTGCTATTTGAGCATTTTAATGTGAATTTAAGTGAAGAGGTGGGGTTAAGAATCACAAGGCAGGAGTTATATACTATTTCATCTCTGAAAAAGATGGGCTTTGAGCTGCGTAATGGTGAGTATGTCCGAATCAATGCTCATGGTGCCCATGGTGGTGATGATGATGATGATGAGGATGATGATGGTGATGAAGGAGCCGGAGACGAGCCAATGGCGGAGGCATAGAGTTCAACTCCATCGATCACCTTAGAGCGTGTGTGGGAGCGCATGGATGGCATGTACGAGTACATGGGCCAGATGTCCACCCAGATGACTGGCATGTACGACTACATGGGGCAAATGACCGCCCAGATGAGCACAATGC